AACGAGGAATTCCTAGTAAACGCAAGTCATCAGCTTGCATTGATTACGTCCCTGCCCTTTGTACACACCGCCCGTCGCACCTACCGATTGAATGACTCGCAGCTGTCAGTGTTTCATCCGTGTCTGCCGATGGAGCACGGTGATGGACTTGGAGAGCAGATGCCAAGTTCAGACGCAGCGATTGCAATTCCTTCAACTTCGCATTATGACGTTGTCGGGATTGTTGGCGTAGGTAGATGGAAGCCGCACGAATATGTTCGTGAAACATAAACCCGGGGTTGTAGTGCCGATGGTTGGGAGAGTGTAGGGCATCGAGCATGGTATCCAGAAGTCGTTCCAGCTCGGCTTTTACTTCCGTCAGTTGAAAAAGCCAAGTCGGACAGCGCCATGGGGCCTTGGTGTGAGGTTTCAACGACGCTGTCTCTAAGTGGAACGATAATGGTGCGTGATCGCAGTGGAAGTAATGGTGTCGCATGTTGACGTGGTATTCCGCGTGGACAAAGCAGTCGGTAAACAGTTCCGGCGTCATAAACACATAGTCTAGCCGGGTGGAGTTGGTCGGGTTGGAGTAGACTAACGTCGTCGGGTTTGACTGGCGCCAAGGGTCAAGTGCGCTGATGTGACTGAGCCAAGACAATAGCTCGGCTCGGCCCGTGCCATGGCTGCGGTAGTCCCCGATTTGGTCGAGAACGGGGTTGCATAGTGGTATTGAAATCACCACATATGATATGATGACCTTCCGGCTAGAAGTCCATCGGAAGGCTTCGAAAGATATCAGGTCTTTCTATCGGGTTGGTGGGGGCGTAGATGACATGGACGTACACCACGATGTCATCTAGAAGGCCCCGGACAAGCAGATAGCGATTCCGAAGAGTCGCTGCGCTTGGCATGGTAGATGAAATATCGACCATGTCGGTGATTGGACAGTTGGAGGTGGCCAGCAAGCCACAGCCGTTGCGACCGTCATAAGGGGACGATGACATGTGTGTCCAGAATGAGAGGCCACCTGAGTCAGCACAGTTCCAGTGGTAGTGGGCCGATTCGAGGTGGTCGAGTTGTGTGAACTTGGTCTCAGTAAGAGCAACAAGGTGGTAGGGTAGCAGTGATGTGAATTGCGACGACGTAGTGTGATTCATGCCGTTCGCATTGAGAGAGAGTCCGCGGAGGGTCCAATTAGGCGTAGCGAGGAAGGTCGGTTTGGACGATCTTGATGGCCTCGTGGAAACGCGTAGGTAGAGATTGGCGGAGGAGCATCGAACCCAGTGCGTTGGTCGCCTGGTCGTGGAGCGTCTGGTCTGACCAGATAAGAGTGAAACTGCCCTGCAGCCAACCCATTTCGCCTCGTTGAGTAATCGCTGCGATCTTCAGCGGGTCAAAGTAGATGGATGGGGCCAGAATCATACACAGAAGATCAAACCGGCTGTAAGCGCCGCGCTAAGTCCAATTCCCGTGCAATGTCGGCCATGTCAACAGCGCGGGAGATCAGATACGCCAATAGTTCGCCATCCGTGGGAGGTTCATCTTGATGCCATGTTTCCATAGCCGCATCAGCAATCAACAGGCGTTTTTGCGACCAGATGGTATCCGATGGGTCATGGGTGATAGCAAAACGTTGTAACGCATGCGCATCGACGTAGCGCTCGAGTAGTGCATGGTTCTTGTTCGCCAGCCACGGACGGTAGAACGAAGGTTGCGCCGCGATAGAGTGTAGGAGCGAGTCGTCATACTGCTTGACGGACTCCGTAGCGCCAAACTCTTCGAGGTATTGCGCGACTTGTGCGATCGACATTTCTTAGACCTTGTACGAATGCGAGAGACATGACTGCAGGGTCGAGTACCACTCTGGCATTGGTAGACATGCCGATAGCGGGCGGGGTGAATCCTCCATCACGGGAAGGATACGGATGTCGATATCTTGTGGGATGGCTCCTTCTTCTCCGCTTGTTAGGGCTTCGAAGCGGTTGAAAAGCGAGATCGACCATGATTGAACGCCGTTAACTGGGTCCTCGAACGCGGTCTTCGGTTCGATATAGATGTGAGAGTCTGCAGGCGCGGGCGCCACAAAGCCAGGAATGCACTGCGCCTTGATCTTGGTGTACCACTCATGCGGCGGGTCAGATGGTTGGGGTCGGGTGCAAACCAAGGGTGACGAATTGGCACCGGCTGTAAAGCTAGGAGCCAGGTCTTGCATGCCCACTGAGAAAGGCAAGCATTCCATGGGACCATCCGGGACGCTCGGGTTAGTCTTGCGATTCGGCTTCGCGGTCGCTGGCGCCGTGGGCTTGGTCTGGCGGGCCGCAATGGAAGGCGGTAGATGCTTGTTGTACTTCCTGTCCCGGTGGTTCAGGATAGCAGGGAGTTCTTCTTGACCGAACCATACTTCACGTACACTTTTCCCAGCTGTGTCCAACAGCATGGGTGGGATTTTCGCATAGTTGAAGTGCACCACACGGTTGCGAGAGGTCATACTTCCGACGTTGACTGCCGGGCGGACATCCAAGGGCTGGCAGCCCATCGCAAAGAAATGGTCGAAGATCATCTCGTCGGATACGTCCGGGTCGAGGCGGCTGATTTCCACGAAATACTTCGTGCCGTGGCGCGAGAACGAAGAGACCTTGTGGACTTCGTCGCAGATCGTGAGTTGCAGGTTCGACAACTTAGCACATGTTGACGCATCGATGCAATCAAAACGGATGCCTTGGCCGCGCACGACAGTAAAGTTGCGTAGTTGGTCGCTGTTGTTGGTCCAAATCGCAGGCATGCTGGATGAACCGAGAGATTGTAGGATGGACGCCAACGGGAGGGTCAACGAGAGCTTCATCGCTGGAATCCACATCGTGTGGTTCTCCGCGGACTTGGTAGGACAACGGAGGAGTGCGCGCGAGCGCAGATCACTGGGGTCGCCAGTAAGATTGGCGGCCATCAGGGCGTCGATGGCAATGTCGAGTTCGGCATCGCTGGGACGGGAGATGAACGGCGGGTCATGGGTGGCAAACCAAGCATCGCGTTTGGCGTTGATTGCCGCTAAATCCATCTGCACAGGTCCTTTCCCACCAGCTCCATCCCCAACGGAGGAGTGAGGGCTCGTTCTGTGGGCATTTCGCTCAGCAGATACTGCCCTACTGGTGGAATCAGACCCAAGGGCTCGGTTTGCCCTTGGGCTTGGTCGGTTTGGACATGGCGGTCGGTGGTGGGAGAGTAGCGTAGCACGGACGGACTCAGAAAGCGGTTGGGCAAGCCGGGGTACAATCGGATACGGAACAGATGGCAAGACCCGCCCAACAGCCCCCCATCCACGATGACTACCGTCGATGGGGGGCTGTTGGGCGGGTCTTCAGCGCTACTGGCAACTGTTGTTGGGCCAAACTTGGTTGTGGCGACCGAAAATGCCATTTCGATTGTTGGTCGGCTTCCATAGAAGTTGGTCTGTTGATGTCGGAGGTGTTGGCAGCAATGTCATCACCTTCGTGCCGGATGACGGTTGTAGGTGGTTGCTGGGCGCTTGTCTGGATTGCTTCCTTGGGTGGTAGTTGGGCATGTGTCCGGTGTTGCTTGCGTCCTGCTGATGGCTGTGTGTGGTTGTGGCTACCCTGATGCCATGTCGAATGGTTGTGGCAACCAAAATGCCATTTTGAACGCGCTTGACGACTTCCTTGGGGGTCTTGAGCAAACATACAGGACCCTTCGGTGGAGCAGCTTGACCAGTTGGTAGTTGTTTTGTCGGGGGGTGTCGGAGTCGCAGCTGAAGACGCACATACTGGTGGACGCACTAGTATGCTGCTGAGGCTGTTGGCTTCGAGTTGGAGTTGAAAGGCTTTGACTTGAGGTCTCGCAACGGAAGCCGGCTGGCTTCCGTTCTTTTTTTTGCGTCGCAAAAAATATGCATTTTATCTGCTGACCTCGTGCTTGAGTTTTCTTGCTTGAAAATCGTTAAGTCCCCCGTAAGCAGTTTAGGGTCTTACATCTTGAACTTGACTTGGAGGGCTTCCACTGGTGTTAACTTCGTTTTGGCTTGTTTGTTTCGGTAGGAAGTCTTTGTATACATCGCCGCCCCGCCGTAGAATGTCGTAGAATCGCTTGTATTTCCGCTTGTCTTGACCGTCGATGCGTTTGAAGTGAGCTTGTATGTGTAGCCACATATACGCTTGAATTTCCGCATCGAGGGCCAAGGTGTCAGAGAATGCTTCGTTGTAGAGTAGCAGGTTTCGTTGGAGCCACAGTTGGCGAAAGCAGATAGCCCGTACGAAGTGTAGCAGTACGAAGAAGCCATCTTGAGGTTGCGTCTTGAATTCTTCCTTGAGGTGGATAGAGTCGGTGAATAAAATGTCTTGCCAACCGAGTCGACCGAAGATAAATTCCAAGGGCGTGAGGTAGCGCTTCCAAATTCGTTCGGCATGGGGGCAGTCCCAAAACAAGTGGATGGCGGTTTCGGGTGTGTCGCAGCCGTGCACGCAGTTCGTATAGCCATGGCGCCATGCAAACTTGTACAAAAAACCCAGGGCGTTATGTTGTAGTCGGAACTTGATATCGCCGAAAATGGGGAGTAGGTGCCGGTCTAGGGAAAGCTCTCTTTGCCAGACTTGGGGCCAGTTGGCTTGTCGATGGACGCCAAGCCGAGTTAGTTGGATCGACGGGGGTTGGACTTGGTGGAGCTGTTTGCGTATTTTAAAGGCTGTGATGCTCTCAACAGGGCTTCCATCGATTGTTCAGGCATGGTGGGCTGCGTTTAGATGTGCTTGAAACGTTGGGCCGCTTGGGATGTCCAGGATACGAGCAGTGAGCGGCTCCAGATGTCGTGCGATGGCTGTGCCCGCCATCAGTGCTGTGCGAGATGGTGCTAACCAAAATAGAGCATCGGTAAATGCGGTGGGTAGGTTGTATCCGCCCTGGACAAAGTCCCATAAGTGCGCCAGTGGACTTTGGAGTGCCTTGAATAGGCCTGCCGTCTTCGTGAGTGTTCTCAGAGGCTGTTGAGTCGTCGTACAGCTTGGAGTGATCCAGAAAGGAATGTGGAAGAGGTCCAACATGTTCATTGTAGCCACCGAGGGAACCGTCGTTGCTTGGTTCCATGTGCAAAGCACTTGGTGAAGATATGGCCCGAGTATCCGGCCATAGTAACCCATGCCAAAGCGCGCCGGCTGGCGGAGGTGTAAATACAAGATGTCCATACCACAGCCATGGCCAACAAGTGCTTGACTGAACAGCGTTATGGCTGGATTTAACCACTTGGGTGTTTTGCCTGGATGTTGCCGTATTTGTCGAATACCGCCAAAGAAAAGGTTGAGCTGGAGGCTGCGTGTGGTGGCTGATAGCGTGGGGAGGCCGAGGCCGCCCTTCGTTCGAGGTACCGTGTACCATTCCTTGGCCAAGATGCCTTTCGCGGCTCTGTCCGGGAGTTCTACCGTGGTTTTCTTGTTCAGGAAGTCCAGCAGTAGTGGTGAGAAACGGTTGAGACTGTCCAGAGGTGTGCAGGTGACGGTTGTGGTATACCATATCAGGGGCAGGATCATTGTTCGGAGCAGAACAACACGCCCATGGATGGTTCGAGCTCGGTGTCGCCACAACAGACATCGCTGATGAACCAGGGGTAGCAAATGGTCCAAACGACGGTCGTGTGATACATTTGGGCCGAAGAAAACTCCCAGGAGCTTGCAGTGACCCGAGTTTGGTGTGATGTTGATGCCCAAAGAAGCCAGACGGCTCGGTAGGGCTTGGTCGCGCCATGGAATGAATGGTAGCACTTGCGTCTTCCGTCTATTGAGGCGCATACCGGTGGCTTTGCAGAAATCCTCGACTAGGTCGAGAAATCGAGGAGTGTCGTTGAGATCTGCCAGGATTCCGGTGCAGTCGTCGGCAAAAGCTATCGTCGCATGCTTCGTCCGGTCGATCGTGATCCCAGGCAGGTGAAAACGGATGTAATTGAGCATCGGTTCGATGAATAACACAAATAGCCCAGGAGACAATGGATCACCTTGCCGTACGCCTGCTCCGAGTTCGAACGGATCAAGGGGCTTGCCGTTGATAAGGATGTAAATCAGCGTATTGTTGTAGAAGGTCTTGATCCATGCTCGAAAGGTCGGGCCAAAGTTGAAGTGGCGTAGAACTTCATCCAATACTTCCCATAGTACGCTGTCAAATGCCTTGGCGAAGTCGAGGAGCACTGCCCCTGCACTCGTGACGTCGTTCAGTTTGCAGTATTGTTGGATCGATGTGAACTCGAACAGGGCTTGCTGGATGGGTCGGCCAGGGACAAAACCATTTTGATCTTCGTGGAGGATGGTTGGTAAGGTCTTGCCCAGTCGATACGACATAATCTTGGGGCCCAGCTTAGCATCCGAATTCAGAAGCGTGAGCGGTCGATGGTTGCCAGGTTCGAGTCGTTCACCAGCTTTGTAGAGAAGCGAAAGGTGTGCCCGGCGTTGAAACTTGTCATACGGCCTCGGTGCAGCTGGTTTGAATAGCATACTTCGAAGACACGCGCCCAGTTGTGAGGGTCGGTGAGGTAGTACTCGATCGGCAAGCCGTCTGGGCCGGGTGCTTTGTTGCGGGCCGATTTGGTGATCGCAAAGTAGAATTCGTTAGCCGTAAGCGGTGCTTCCATCGAACGACGCTGCGTTGTCGTGAGTCGGCGTGTGGTCTTGGCCAGTACGGACTGTAACCTGCGCCTGTTGTGAGGCTGGACTGGGCAATTGAGATCGCGGGAGGGACTCTGAAAGATTTGCGCCCAGTATTGACGAAATTTCGATGCTGTTGAAACAAATTCGGCCTGCGTACGGATTGGGAGTCGTGCTTGGTGGCAGGATTGCGTGGGGGGCCGTAGGAATTCCTTCGAGCTTCGTTCATCGCTGTGTAGATTTGATCGAAACGACTTTGCTTTTGAGATTCCTTGACCGACGCGTAGTACTTTTCATATAAGGTTTGTGCTGATTTGTACGCCTTGAGTGCTTCTGGCGAAGGCCTTCTTCGCGAATCAGCTTCTTTAAGCCGTGCGTCCAGGAGCAAATCATGCAGGCGCCTTTGAGTGGTGTTGTGGTGAGTAGCGTAGGCTTCTCTAAGGTAGATACTGTCTGATCGCTTGTTTTCGTCCAGAAGACAACCAGGGTTGTAGTTGGGAATTGAGTGACCAGACAATGTGTCCATGAGTGTGGCGAGGCTTCCGCAGAGGTATTCCTTGACTTGTGGAAGTGCGAGTAACCAGGTGGGGCAGCGCCATGGTTTGGATATGTTTCTTGGGGACCATGTTCGAGTGCTGATGTCAAAAATGACCGGAACATGGTCGGAGTTGTGCCACTTCATCCCGTGTGCATGTTTGATGCGGCGGACGTTGTTGACAAATATGTGGGAACTAACCAGCGCCATGTCGATGCGACGATTGGATTGTGGACTTGTATATTCCATCGCGGTCGGGTGTTGGATGCGCCAAGGATCGACTAGTTGCAGAGCAATTTGCCAATCCATAAGCGGGGCTCGGCCTGGGTCCGATGTGCTTGCAGTTGCGTCCGTGTCGAGTGGGCCCAGAACAGTGTTGAAATCACCGCAAACAATGTGTTTAGCATTGTCGGGGAAAGCTCTGGGTAGTGCTTGGTAAAATGCTGGTCGGTCTTGAGGTTGGGCTGGCGCGTAGAGCACGTGAATGTAAATGCAGACATCTTCAAGCGTGCCTTGGACGACCAGATAGCGGTTTTGGAGTGGTGAGTCTTGAACGACATGGTCGGATGTAATATCGACGGGATCGTCGATAGGACATGCATTGGTGAGGAGCAAGCCGACTCCGTTGTGCCCGTCGTAGGTTGGGGAGTGCGTGTGTGACCAAAATGCAGTTCCATACGCATCTGTCGTGTGCCAATGGTGGTTGGCTTTGAGTAGGTTGGCGTGCGATGTGAACTTGGTTTCTTGTAGAGCAATGAGTGAGAATTTGGAAGCGAGTGTTGAGAATAGTGAGCGGTGTAGATGGTTTATTCCGTTGGCGTTGATGGAGATACCACGGAGCTGCCATTCGGCTGAGTTAGGCGGAGTAGCAGGGAAGTGTGAAGACATCCAACGGGTGGATGTTGCCAGGACCATGATGGCTTGTTGGATCGGAATTGCGAGATTGGACCGCGTGAGAAGGTAGTCGCCCATCGGCGAAGCAGCTAGAGCACAAAGGGTTCGTCGGACCAGAGGAAATGGGGCGCTAGCGTCAAGGTTGCCAGTCGGGGAAGGCCACCATGCTTGTGACATGCTTGGTGAACCAACGCAGAAACCTTGATCGCATTGAAATAGATTTCTGGTTGGTTCAGCTGTAAAAACAGGCAGAATTGCGCCAATGCGAGCACGACTACTGTGGTTCGCCGAGTTTGGCACGAATGACGACAGTACCAGTGATGTTGGGTTGTTGGATGTCGCTGCTTCAGGCCAGAGGTGTGCCCATAACGGCTGAGGTAGGGTTGCGTTGGCTTGTTCTTGCATGGCATCGATGATGCGGTCCAGGTACGAGTGGCTTTGGATGAAACGTTGGAGGGCATGTCCAGGTGCTTTATGTACCAATACTTCAATGTTTGTCGGTGTCTGGACGTCCAAGATTGGTGCTAAATGGCCTGGGTTTGCTTGGATCATGGCCAAGGCAATGCTTGAGTCGTCTTCTGACTGGAAACTGTTCGCGTAATGTTCCAGGTAGTCCGTCAGCTCGCCGACCGTCATCGATTCAACGTCCGTGTTGAATGCATTGTAGCACTGGAGGTCTTCATTGGAGCGAGCGTGAGTGGCGTACAGGTTCGGATTCCCGTCGACAGTCACGATGTACGGAGCAGGAGTGGCGTCGATTTCATCGTCCGCGTCGTCCAGAACTTCGAACGAGTTGTAATGGGCTGGAAAAGCGTGGACAACGATGCCAGGGTGGTCCGTGGCGACGCTATCAACGCTGATGGCTTGTGGCAAAAGAATCGGTGAGGATGCTTTCGAAGTATATCTGCGGGAAAGTTGAGCTCGACACCACAATGGCGAATCGTCCGGAAAGGCAGTACGAGTGTGTACACGCCGGTTGGGATCGTCATCGACAAAGTTCGCGCGTACTAGCACTGTTGGGCCATCCGCTGAACCTTCTGAAGCCGTGTCATCGTACGGAGTGGTGTGTTGAAGGTCATTGGTGCTATTGCTGCGAGTGGGTGGGTTGGAATCGGCGTGTTCCATGGATTGGCCCATATCTTCATCTTCCGATGTTGCAGAATGCTCTGAGTCGCTTGATTCTGAGTGTTCCGAGTCCATGCGTGTATCTTCGGAGGTCAACACTGCTTGTGCTTCAAGGGCCTGCTCGGGAGCGTTATTATGGCTTGTTGGATGGTGTTCCGTTGCTTGTGTCCGGGCAGATGCCGGAGCTTGTGCTCGTTTGGCTCGGATACTCGGTGGTACACTTTTGTTGTATCGCGTAATACGATGGTGTACGAAACAGGGGTCCGAGCCTGTTCCATGGATGAAGATTTCGCGCACTGGGTCGACTTTATGTCAGTACTATGGATGTTTGGGCCATATTTTGTGAGGATGCCTTTCTGCCATTGAGTTGGTGGTTAGG